CCTGCTTTTATTCTCAATTATTATGCCACATTATAACCCCATCTCTAATTATTATTCATTCGCTATCCCCTTCTTTTTTATGTGCGACTCCATGGAATCTTATACCCGTGAGAAACATTGACATCTATAAATCACAACTAACTTGGAAAAAGCCAACAAATATAAGAATGATAGCTAAATGGAAAGAGGATTGAAAGAGACTAACAAAGATAATGAAACAACGTTAAAAACAACCAATTTTCAAACCACAACAGAGGAAAGCGACAAGATATGAAAAACGGAAAAGAATGTTAAAAAACGACGTATGAACGGAAAAGAGTAGTCAATAATAACTTGCATAAAAAACGAAAAAAAAAAAAAAAGGAAGATAACACCCAAGAAAATAATATGTTGTTAAGGGAAAAAACATATATATGGAAATTGGATTTTCATCGGTGGTTATATATATTTTTATATGTATATATTGTTAGGGTATATGTCCATAAATTAAATAAGATGTAAATATTTTTGCTGATTATTAATGAAATGAGAAATTTTTTTAATATTATTTTGAATGCGTATGAAGTTTTATAAATATAAAAAATTCTCAAATTATTTTACATGTAACTTTAAACATTATACATAAGTGTTATATGTAGAAGATAATATTTAAAGTAAAATAATCTAAACTTATCTGTAATTATAAATTAAAATTAAAATATTTAATTTAAAATTAATAGTACGGTTCATTATTGAGATTATTAAAATAAAAACACTATATGTAATATGATTACATAGAACCAAAATATAATTAATTATAAATTTTTAATAAATTTTATTATTAAATAAAGTATTTAATATTAATCAATAATGATCGTATATGAATTAATCTTACACTCTTAAAGTCCCCACGTTTCTCATTATGAGAAAAGATTTTTTTATTTGTTTTTTATTTGGCCAATAAGATTTGGCCATAATTTAATAATAAAAAAAAGAAAAAAGAAAAGCCACGCATTTCCTTTTATATATACATATATATATATATATATATGTAATAAACATTAAAAGGAATGGAACGTGCGGCAGTACACGTTCCCTAAAACAAAAAATAAATAAATAAAAAGAAGGAGAAAGTGGGCAAGTTTGCCACTTCTTCAGAAGTGGTTGAGGCGTAAAAACAGGAACGAAAGAAGCAGGAAGCTTCTCGAGAAGGGTAAAAAAAATCACCGCATCAAATGACGAAAATGCCCAGCAAAAAAACATAAGAACAAAATAAAATTGATGACAAAATAATAAAAACAAATTATAGGGGACACGAACGGCATTTTCCAAAATGGTAAACACAAATAAGATTGGACACTGTTTTAAGAATAGTAACTTAGGTGCCTTCTTTAGTAGCATGTATATAATGTACTTCCTTACAATTGAACCAAAAAAAAATACGGAGAAAAAAAGTAAAATTAAATAAAATTTTCGAGTGTTATCACATATTTTTTTAAAAATATATGTGATTATTATAGGTGGTTTTTCTATTTATCTATTTTATGTGTTGAGAAATTTATTAGAACTCTCACATATTTAAGTTCACGTTAATCTGGAGATAGATTGAGAAAGAACCATAGTGTTATCACATATTTTTTAGTATTAGAACTCTCTAAATAAATTTTTTTTGAGTATTATCACATTTTTTAAAGAAAAATAAGTGATAATTATATGTGGTTTTCTTATTCATTCATTTATGAGAAATTTATTAGAATGTTTACACATTTAAGTTTACGTTAATTCATAGATATATTAATAAAGAATCTTGTGTTCTTAAAATTTAAAAACTCAAGACAGTGTTAGAGGAGTTCAAGATTTACAAATGACGATAAATTTCTTCTTTTTCTCTTTAATTTTTTATAATTAAATTAACATAAAATAATTATCACATTAAATTTTAATTTATATAATTTGATTAATATTACGCTTCGCATAATATTTTTTTTAAATCCGGGAGAAATCAACATATATATATATATTTTTTTTTTTGAGGAGGGGAAAAGCATAATTAGCATTGAATAATAAACTATGTAGGTGTGGCACATATACAGTAAATAAATAAAATATCTTCTTCTCAACAAAAATAATAATAATAAATAAATAAATAAAAATATCTTCTTTCCATAACTATTAAATGCTTCCTTAAACTTGATTATTGTCCGTCTCACTCTCACGTGTACTTTTAACTGGTCATCTCTCCAGCAACAAGAAGCAAAATTGTACATCTATCTATCAAAGAAGAAGAAAATGGTGGGCGAAATGAACACATTCATAAAGGTATGGCTTTCAATCTTCACATCTCTATCTTATTGCTATGCCATTGGGAAGATAGTCCCGAAAGGTGTAAGAAGACTCTTTTTTGTTCTCCCTATTCTATGTCTCTTTCTATCTCTTCCTCTCAAACTCTCTTCCATAAATTTCTCCGGTGGCACTGCATTTTGCATAACATGGCTTGCAAACTTCAAGCTTCTACTCTTTGCATTTGGCAAAGGCCCTTTAGCACTGGACCCACCAATCTCCCTTGGCCGTTTTATTGTCGTTTCTTGTCTTCCCATTGAGATCCGAGAAAACCCACCGAAAAAACATCTTAAACACCAAAAAGAAACAAAACCCATCTCTTTGTTATTAAAAGCCTTGCTTTTGGGAATTCTAGTTAGGGCCTATGATTACAAGGAACATATGCCCCAAAAAGTTATGTCGGTCTTTTTGTGCCTTCTCATATATCTTTTGCTTGAGATCATACTAGCCATTGTGGCAGCCTTGGCACGAGCCATGTTGGGCCTTGAGCTCGAGCCACACTTCAACGAGCCATACCTCTCAACCTCACTCCAAGATTTTTGGGGAAGAAGGTGGAATCTTATGGTCACCCGTATCCTGCGCCCTACCGTATATAATCCCACTCTCATATTATGGGCCCGACTCGTGGGCCATAGGTGGGCCCAAATACTGGCTGTCATGGCAACATTCGTAGTCTCTGGGCTTGTTCACGAGCTCATTTACTACTACCTGGGCCGCGTGCGTCCCACGTGGGAGGTCACGTGGTTCTTTGTCCTGCATGGATCGTGTTTAACGGTTGAGATCGCTTTGAAGAAGGCGTATGCCACCACGTGGCGGCTTCCAAGGGTGGTTTCAGGGGCGTTGACTATTGGTTTTATGTTGTTGACCAGCTTTTGGTTGTTCTTTCCTCAGCTCCTCCGGTGTGAGGCTGATGTTAGGCTCCTTCAAGAGTATGCCGCTTTAGGTGGGTTTTTGAAGAGCTTCATCACCCAAAGATAAATAACATTTTTCAGCTAATCGGACGGTTGGTATAGCAAATTTATTTGAGGGTGTAGTTTGAGAAATCTTAATCTTAATTATTCTTCTTTTTTAATATTCTAGTTGTTTTATGTTCCCATCATAGGTCAAAAGTGTTGGTTGCATTTGCTCTTTATTGAGAAAAAGCCTCAAAAGAGTTGTTTATAAAAAGAGTTGTAATTACTCATTTTCAACGTGTTCAAGTGGATAGCCTGTTTCCCCTTAGAGAGAGAGAGAGAGAGAATGGATAGAACGACAAATCTAGACCTTATGATCAGGGTCAACCATGATCTGCAACACCAACAAACCCAAGCCATACTCGAACTTCGAAACAGATCCCGGCTTGGTCACTAATTCTGTCGCAATCCATGAACTCGAAACTAACTCCTCCTGCTCACAAAATTTACAAATTTCTTTCACGTTACATAGATAATATGGATGAGAAACAACAATACACAATTACAAGCATTTTAACCGAAAAAGTTGGAATGCGACAACATTCTAAAAACAATAAAGAGTGAGAAACTACAAAAATAAAAAAAATAAAGCGACAGAAAAAAAAAAAGAAAGGGTTTTCAAACAGACGTAAACGACAACATAATCGGATGCAGAACATGATAACTAATACACAAAGCGACAATTGAACAAGAAACGAAAAATGCGCAACTAACAAGGAAAAGCTCAGAAATATAAGATAATTAACTGAAAACAAAAAGATTGAAAGAGCTCAACTTTTTGCTACCATATGTGCATGCATGATCATCATTTTTTTTAAAAATATTATTAACATGATAAATTTTTGAATAAAAAAATAACAACTCTCATTACATCCATTAATATTAAAAAAGTTAAAATAAAGTGGGATTCCAGTATTCTTGATATCCTAAACATAGAATAATAACTCTTCTTTCTTACGCCATTAAAGGCTTGCTCACACTTGACTTGTACTTGTCCATATATCTCACTTCCACTTTCAACTCGGTCAACTTTGGTTAGATTCACAATATATACATCAGCAACAACAAGCAAATCATATGTCAGAAATGAAAACAATGGAGAGTGAAATAAACACATTTATAAAGGTATGGATTTCAATCTTCGCATCTCTATGTTATTGCTATGCAATTGGGAAGATAGTCCCAAAAGGTGTAAAAAGACTCTTCTTTGTTTTCCCAATTGTATGTCTCTTACTATTTCGTCCTCTCAAACTCTCTTCCATATTTTTTACCGGTTGCACTGCCTTTTTCATTTCATGGCTTGGGAACTTCAAGCTTTTACTCTTTGCTTTTGGCAAAGGCCCTCTAGCCTTAGACCCTTCAATCTCCCTTGGCCGTTTTATTGTCGTTTCTTGTCTTCCAATAATGATCCGAGAAAACCCACAAAAAAAAAGAACATCCTAAACACCAAAACAAACAAAAGCCATCTCACAAAAAGTGGTCTCCTTCGTTAATGAAAGCCTTGCTTTTGACAATTCTCATTAGGGTCTTTGATTATAAGGAACATATGCACCAAAAAGTTGTGTTGGTCCTTTATTGCCTTTTTGTATATCTTTTGCTTGAGACCATGCTAGCCATTGTGGCAGCCTCGGCTCCCGCCCCGGTGGGCCTTTGGCTCGAGCACCTTCGGCGAGCCGTACCTCTCAACCTCACTCCAAGACTTTTGGGGCAGAAGGTGGAACCTCATGGTCACCCGTATCCTGCACCTCACCGTATACGAACCCTCCCTCGTATTATGGGCCGGACTCGTGGGCCGAAAATGGGCCCGAATCCCCGCTGTCATGGGCACATTCTTAGTCTCTGGGCTTGTTCATGAGCTCATTTTTTACTACTTCGGCCGAGTGCGTCCCACGTGGGAGGTCACGTGGTTCTTTGTCCTGCATGGATTGTGTTTGATGGTTGAGATCGCTTTCAAGAAGGCTTTTTCAATCTCCTTTGGCCGTTTTATTGTCGTTTCTTGTCTTCCAATAATGATCCGAGAAAACCCACAAAAAAAAGAACATCCTAAACACCAAAACAAACAAAACCCATCTCACAAAAAGTGGTCTCTTTCGTTAATGAATGCCTTGCTTTTGACAATTCTCATTAGGGTCTTTGATTATAAGGAGCATATGCACCAAAAATTTGTGTTGGTCCTTTATTGCCTTTTTGTATATCTTTTGCTTGAGACCATGCTAGCCATTATGGCAGCCCTTTTCTTTTTTTTTTTTTTTTTTTTGGAGCCCTTGTTAGCCATTATGGCAGCCTTGGCTCGAGCCATGTTGGGCCTTGAGCTCGAGCAACATTTCAACGAGCCGTACCTCTCAACCTCACTCCAAGACTTTTGGGGCAGAAGGTGGAACCTCATGGTCACCCGTATCCTGCACCTCACCGTATACGAACCCTCCCTCGTATTATGGGCCGGACTCGTGGGCCGAAAATGGGCCCGAATCCCCGATGTCATGGGCACATTCTTAGTCTCTGGGCTTGTTCATGAGCTCATTTTTTACTACTTCGACCGAGTGCGTCCCACGTGGGAGGTCACGTGGTTCTTTGTCCTGCATGGATTGTGTTTGATGGTTGAGATCGCTTTCAAGAAGGCTTTTTCATCCACGTGGCGGTTTCCGACGGTGATTTCAGTGGCGTTGACTATTGGATTTGTGTTGTTGACTAGCTTTTGGTTGTTCTTTCCTCAACTTCTTAGGTGTGAGGCTGATGTTAGGTTGCTTCAAGAATATGATGCTTTAGTTGGGCTCTTGGGGAGTTTCATCACCCAAAGATTTACATTTTTCAGCTAATCACATTTTTCAGCTAATCAAATGGTTGATATAGCAATTTATTTTTTAGATTCATTATGAGAATTATACATCTTAATTATTCTTCTTTGATCAAAACAAGTTAGTGGCATTTGCACTTTATTTGTCAAAAGTCACTAGCCATATGAAACGAAGTTTGATGGAATACTTTATCATCATTCTTTATAACATAATATATTATCACCGTACAAAGTTGACAAATCAAAACGGAATCACTTATATTTTTTTCTCAATAAAATGTTGACAAACAAACAGGTGGACAGCATGCCAAAACCATGTGAAACCTACCATTTAAGATCCGAAATAAAATTTTAAGAATTTTATTTAACTCTCTTCTTCAGTAATATTATTATATTAATATGTTAGCACAATTGATCATGGTACTTTTAAACTCTTCTTCTTGTTTCTTTTCATAAGCATTAAACAAGATCTTGATTCATTTAAGCAGATCCATGTTCAAACATTTTAAAGAAACATTTTCTTAGGTCATCCATGATCAGTCGCGCACCAAAAGATTGGATACCACAAGCATAAAATAATGCCACAGCAAAGCCAAAATAAAAAATAAAATGAAGTGCCTCGATTAGAATAATAATAATCTTTTGATGTATTTTACAAGCAAAAAAATATTATATATAGTATTATACTTTATCTCCTAACTAGTCAACATATTGTTATTGATGTGCATATCGACACTTTTAGTATTATATGTGTTGTGTTTGTACCTAAAGATCATGTCAACCTTTCAAATTGTAATTACTTCTATTAGCCCATTTCTTTCAATGTGGCCAGCTCTTGCTTTGTTTGCCACATGCATTAATGACATATATTAATGTATGTCATTAGCAACAACAAAAAACCATTATTGTATGTTAATATATCCATGTCTTATTTCCCATGCCACGTAGCATAAGCTTGAGAGGGTAACAAAGTAAGTAGGTAGGGGTAAAGAGAAAATTATATAATTTAATGTGCATGGATCTAGATTTTTATCTATAATTTTTTATTAATATTCTTTTGTTAGTATAATTATTTGACTAAAAAAGTTATTAATTAAGAGTAAGTGATAGAAATTCTGACACATACACTTTTAAGAGTATTTGTTTCATTTCCCCGAAATAAATAAAATGTCAAAAATAGATGTAAATACACCTCAAGCTTAGAAGTCAAACATAAAAATGAAATAAAAAAGCAAGTACTATGAGATCATTTGTCATCTTTTACAAGTACTATGAGATCATTTGTCATCTTTCTGTTTTGTTTTTTTTGGATGAAAAAAGCATTCATTTGTCATCTTTTGTCGCACTTCAGAAGCAAAAATTGTCTTCTCTATTGATTTAGTATATCCACCAAAACTAGTTCAACACACTTCTTTGGAACCCCAAATTTAAGGGTCATTAATGGCGGCTAAAAGAAGATCATAAATTTTTCTTCTCAAAAACTTTTAAGAGCCTTAAGGCTCAAACAATTTTTCATCCAACAATCAACAGAAAAGTGGACAAAATATGGAGGGAGAGCTAGGCAACTTCATAAAGGTATGGATCACTGTCTTTATCTCTCTCTGCTATTGCTATATAGTCGGAAAATCAATCGCAAAAGGTCCTCTAAGACTACTTTTTCTTCTCCCAATTGTGTGTCTCTTTCTCTATCTTCCTCTCGAACTCTCTTCCATGCATCTTGGAGGCTTGACTGGTTTCTTCATAACTTGGCTTGGCAATTTCAAGCTCTTACTTTTTGCTTTTGGCAAAGGCCCTTTAGCTTCTGACCTTTCAAATCTCTCTCTTATACGTTTTGTGGCCGTCGCTAGCCTTCCGATCAAGATCTTCATTAATGACCAAAACAAAGAAACCCCATCTCCCAAAACTCCTGAAAAAGGTCAAACATCACTTCTAAACTATGCAATAAAGGGCGTCTTATTTGCATTGTTGCTAAGAGTCTATGACTATAGTGAATTCATCCATCCAAAAGTCATGTTGGGTCTATATGGCTTGCACATTTACTTCTCCCTCGAGTTGACCCTAGCAATAGTGGCAGCAATGGCTAAATCCCTCACCGGAGACGGAGAGCTTGAGCCGCAGTTCAACGAGCCATACCTCTGCTCTTCATTGCAAGACTTCTGGGGTAGAAGATGGAATCTCATGGTAACTAGCATCCTAAGACAAACCGTATACGAACCTACCCGTAACTTCTCCAAGCATATCATTGGCCGCAAATGGGCCCCGATTCCCGCGGTTATCGCGACCTTCTCGGTGTCTGCTCTCATGCATGAGATCATATTCTACTATTTGAGCCGCCTGCGGCCCACCTGGAAGATCACATGGTTCTTTCTCCTCCATGGATTCTGCTTGAATGTTGAGATAGTTTTGAAGAAGACTATTGGGAAGAAGTGGAGGCTTCCGAGGCTGATCTCGGGGGCATTGACTATTGTAGTCCTGATGATCACCTCAATTTGGCTGCTTATACCTCAGCTCCTTAGGTTTCAAGCTGATGTTAGAACGCTCGAAGAGATCGCAGCATTCGGCGCCTTCATAAGGAATGTCACTCGTTTTTAACTTTGTTTCTTTATTGAATCTTTAGAGCAAAACCTGTTTGTTATACATCAATCATTTGTCTGTTTTGATTGAGATCAATAAGATAATTTAGTACAAGGATTATCTTCCCTATTTTTTCTAAAATGGTAAGTGAAAAAAAATGGTGTAAATTACAATTACATAGCTCTCGTGAAAGATGAAACCAAGGTCCAGACAACAAAAGAATAGCATTTAATTAATCTAAGCTGGTGTTTCAACTCTATTTTCACAACAAGACATGTGCAGAATTTAAATTTACTCAAAAAAAAAATTGTTTTTTTTGTTGACATTTGTATCTCACTACGATTATCCCAGGTCCAAAACTATAAAAAGAAAGGATATAGTAGTGTTTCTTGGCTATGTCAGAATCAAAATATGTAAATTAGTCCTTTAGCTTCACAATTATGTTGTTTCAAACTGTATAAAAATACCAACATCTTTATTAAGAACTAATCTTCTAAAAAAATAACTATGTTATGAAATTAAGAAAATGCAAAACTAAAAAGAAAAATTTTAGAGAGATAAATTAGAGAGAGAGTTTCATTATTCTTGTGAGGGTATACAAAATGAAGAGAGGAAAATTTTTGGCACTATTCACGGTTACTATTTGCACAATACTTACTATATACGGTTACTATTTGCACAATAATTTATAAAGTAAAAGACAATTGACCATATAAATGATTCATTCACGACTGGTAAAAAATAATTTATGCGGTAAAAAATCTTTATTTACGTGAGAAAAAATATTTATACCAGTTGCAAAAGGAAAATTTATGTGCGAAAAATCTTTTTACTTGTCATAAATAAAACATTTACACGGTTTACCGATATTTACTTTAAATAGTTTTAAAATATGCTATTTCATTTATTTTCTATACATCTGCTATTTATTTCATTCTCCCGTAGTAATATTTAGATTGCATGGTGAAACTAAGGTCCCATCTAGTTTGTAGGTTCAAACCTATAATTTTAATTTTGCTACAGTGTTTTCTCTCACAAAAAATTTGAATTTAAAATGTTTTCGTTAATAGATTCTCTCATAAAATTTAAATACAAAATTAAAATCACCGATTTAAGCTGATGAACCAAATGGGCCCTAAAACTTTATTTGTGAGGGGTAAGTATATAATGTTGGTAGAATCAAAAAAAGAAAAAAAAAAAAAGAAAAAGGAAATCTTTCAACTCGCAGAATGATATTGATGAAATTATTTCATGATGCACGTCACTGCTCGTATGAAATTATTTTTCAAAGAAAACCCCCCTCGTTTTAGTAGCTTCAATATATATCTGATGATGTGATTGCACTACTACTCTTTGCTCCAGGATTTGTCATATATTAAAGGTGGTTTCACAAGAAAGTACGAGCTACATAATCTCCATTATCTATCCATGTCTCTGAACTTTGACGATCTAAAAGAGATTTTAACAGCTGTTTCCCTTCTACAAAGTGCCCCGAATTTACAAGAACTAAGCATTGAGTCGACTGTGAGTTTAACATCTCCAATCATGTCTTGTTTTGCTTTTGTATTGTACTTAAATATATATATATATATATATAATCGTCATATTAATATTTTACGGCTTAAATAATAATATTCATTAATAAGTACATATCAGAATAATTATTAAAACCACACCTATATAAAAAGAAAGTCCAGAGACAACAATATTCATTAATAATAAGTAAATATCAGAATAATCATTAAAACCACACCCATATAAAAAGAAAGTCCAAGAGATGTTTCGTGCGTGTCCCAAAACACGTAGAGATCATTGTCAAGTAAAACATATATAGTGTTGATACTTGAAAGAGGAGTCTCTAATTTATATGATTAATTATTCCTTTGAGGAGTACTTTTTTCTTTTTTTTTTTAAATGTCTTTTGAGGATTTTATGTTTATGAATTGATTTAATTATATGGTGATTTCAAGTAATAGTTTTATAAGTTTGTCTTTGAGATATGAATTTAATATTTTCCCCTAGGGAAGGTCATCGTGATAAGAAACAATACAAAATACCAATGCATAATATCCAACTTAAGTGTAGATTTATCAATAAAAAGAAACAATTAAATATAGATTAGGATAAAAAAACACTTAATTCCGTCATTAAGTTAATGATTTAGTAATCATAACATAATAGGTTATTTACATGGTTCAAAATTCTTTTACTAACATGGTCGTGGAATGATCATTAATTTCTTGATGCAATTATCATCTCGAGAATCCATACATTCCTTGTCGGTATATGGAAAGTTATCTCTTGAGCGCAGGTTTAGGTTATAAATTTTAGTTATTTGGTCTTTGAAATCGAAGCCTTTAATCAGGCACGCACAAATCCATTGCCTTCCAGAGCAGGTTTGCTTTTGCTCCGTCTTAAAGTTCACCATTGTGTTGTTTCAAACTGTATAAGAATACCAACATCTTTATATAAGAAACTAACCTTGTAGAAAAATAACCAAGAGTTATCATTCATTTACCCCAACAAGTATTTCCTAGTGAATTCCAGAATTGTTTTTGTCCACAACTTAGAGAATTTAAATCTTGAAACAGGACTTTATAGTGAAGAAGAGTGGTTCTGACCATGAACTGAACTCAGAAACTAATCATCTTTCTCCGAACCCGGGTTGAGATTCGAGAGACTACCCACCTCTCTCTCCACTTGGTTTCCCAAGATAATTCCCAAAAAAACAACCCATAACCGTCGTTAGCTACTAACCTCTTATTTATACAACTAATTCCTTCTAATAAACTCCAACAAGTACTCACATCAGTTAACCAACTATAAGCAGTAACTGCTGTCAGTTGAATGCTTTCTTATTTAAAAACAAAAGAAAACTACCATCAGTTACAACCTAACTAACCAATTCTCAAGTCCTATCACAAATCTCATCAACTATCAACCTTATGTCGGTGATGAGATACTAACCATCCATTGTCTGAATGTAAGGGCCATTGATCTTGATAAAAGGGATGTGCTTTATCCATTGTCTGCACCTGTGTCCTTCTCCAAGTGTATCTCCAATAGAGGACAGCCCCAGATTGACAAGAACTGAAGGGCAGTCAGGCGCTTCATTGATTCCGGCAGCAACAATAAGTGCTCAAAATACCAAAGCTCAATTTCTCTAAGCGCAACAAGGTTCCCCAGCCACTCAGGCAGAGAGGGCAAGTTGGTAAAACTCCAAATATGCAATGTGTGGAGGCTTGTGAGATGCTGCATAGCATTTGGAAAGGCTTTTATATTTCTGCAGTTTGAGAGTAAGAAATAATGAATAGATTTCAAAACTTCTAATCCTTCCGGCACCACAATTAGGCCATCACACCTGTCTATGGCGAGTTGAGAGATTTGAGGCCTTCAAACTCTGACAAAGATTTGATTTCAGGGCAATCACTGATACTCGATGATTGAAGGAAACAAAGACTCTTGAGTTCACCAGAAAAAGATATGAGCTTTCAGCAGCACCTGATTTCTAAGAACAGACGTGTTTTGCTTCTTAGCAGCCCCTGTGGCAAATTAATAAGCTCCTCAAATTCACTAATAATGAAACTCAACAGAGAAGTTATCTTCGTTGCGCTGGTCAATATTTCGTCTCTGCAAAACTCGAGCTCTAAACATTCAATAGATGGAAGATCTGGCAAGGTGATCAACCTTGGGGCATTATCGATTTTTAGTTCCTTCAAGTAGGGAAATCGGACTCTTCTTTCGTTGCATGATCACCCCAATAAATTAGGCATGTGTTTGAGTGACAATTTCTTTAGGGTAATGAAATCAGCAACTCCACTACTTTGCCTAGAATCATTGCAAAAGTACATTGTGGCTTCCATTTCGGCAATCGCAAGAACTCGTAGAGAATCTAGCTTCTCTAGTGAAGGAAGTTGCACACATATTTGACATCGGATCAAGGAGAGTTCGACAAGATTTGCAAGATAAGAATTCATTAACCAACTGGGTAAGTTAGAGCCCATGTAGTTTTTAATGGCTAACTTCTTTAGCTCGGAGTTGGGCTGAAGGCCTTGAGCGATACGATCTTCATTTTCTCTTGCAGTCACATCATCTGAATCATTCCAGGCTAGTTTCAATGACTGAATGTGCCTTTTTTTCCTTTAAGCTTGCATGCTTTGCGCGCCCTACATCATCCCTCACATTCTCAAGACATTTAGTGGTTAGTTCTCCATGGAGGTCTAGGCTCTGCAAGTCTGCAATACTACATCCAGTTTCCTTACCAAATATGAACACAGGCAACGTTTTAAGGGAGCTGAGTTCTCCAATTCCATTTGGAAGTTCGGATAATAATTCACATCCACAAATATTCAGGTGCCTCAGGTTGATCAGCTTTCTCAAATCTTCAGGTAGTTTCTGCAGTCGGTTGCAGTACAGGAGTACCAGGGTTTGTAGATTAAAGAGTTTGATAACTCTTTCATAGGAGTATTCGACAAGTTAAGGTACCTTAAATGTTTCAAAAGACAAATTGATTTAGGCACCTTCTTAATGCCAGAGCTGCTTAAGTCTAATGAGGGCAAAGATTTCATATGCAAGATCATCTTATTTGATACTTGTGCAAGCTTTTGCCGCACAGATGGTAAAAGAAAGGAGCGCAGCTTTGATGCGCACCTGATACTCAAATGTTTAGATTTATTACAAATTACTGACAAATGGCGGGTTTCGGAGGCGATAATCTCTTGCTTAGAAACCTCCAGCATCAAGCAACTGTTGGCTGCAACAGAGTTTGCCAGATCATGAAGGAGATGGTGCATTTCAACTTCTACTATGCCACCATTTCCATCTTTGGTTGCATTTTGGAAAAAAGACCTCCACAACAACTCATTAAAACATTCATCCGCAACCTCTTATAGTTGTTTTCCTCGAGACGGTCGAACAAATCCTTCTGCTATCCACAAATGGATCAAATTCTCCTTTTTTATCTTGTAGTCCTTAGGATAAAGGGAGCAGTATGCAAAACATTGCTTTAGATGAGATGGAAGACTGTCATAGCTTAGCCTTAATACCTGTAAAATTACATTTTCTTCTTCAGTAAAGCTCCACATTTCACTATCTCTAACAGTTATCCAGTACTCGATTTGTCTTTTCATCGGCAGTGAGCTTCCGAGAGCCTTTGCTGCCAAAGGTACACCCTTGCACTTGCAATTTCTTTTCCAACAGCCACCAAATTTGAAGCGCGCTCGTCGAGTCTTCCATTTCTGAATGCTCGTTGCTGAAACAATAACCAACAATTGTCATCTGACAGGCCTTCCAAATGGTAAGGAGTGATGGTGCCCATTATTAGAGCAACCTTTTCGCTACGAGTTGTCACTAAAATGCCACTTCCTTCAGAACCGTGCTGCACTGAATTCTTCAGCCTGTCCCATTTCTCATGATCCTCATTCCGCACATCATCCAAAACGAGCAAAAACCTTTTACCCATAATCAATTCTTGAACACGGCGATGGATTGCTTCCATTTCATCAAGATCACATCTAATCCCAGTTGCAGACTCAACAATTGCTCTCATAAGCTTCTTAACATCAAACATTTCGGATACGCAGACCCAAATCCGTCTCTCAAAATGCTCCTCAACCCTTTTGTCATTGTAGACCAATTTGCTCACTGTTGTCTTCCCTAGCCCGCCCATGCCAACTATGGGAATGACTGCGACATCTCTTGGATCAATTGGATTCATTAGAAATCTTATGATCTTCTCTGTCTTCATCTCTTCCAAAGACTTCAGATCCACACAAGTAAGAATCTGATTGCATTCTAGACCAAGATGATTGCTTACCACTAAAATCAGCACTAAAACTCTCTCAAATGAATCTTGAACCTCTCATCTGAAGTTGCATTCAATCTGTCAACTACATTCTTCAATTTTTTTATCATTCTATGACGAGAGAAAAATGGGTTCGATTGAGAACTGAAGTGGCATACCAAGCTTTTCATGGATCCTCGGATATTCATGAGATCACCATGGAACTCCATTTTTTGTTGTAGAGCTTCTGTCATATACTCATCCAACAAGTCATCTCATCATAAGCAACATCTTTGAGCTTTATTAGCCAATCCTTCACCGCCATGTCCAGTACTTGTCGATCCTCCGCATCTTCTAGCACTGATTGGATTGATGAAAGTAAACTCTGAAGCTTTCTGATCTCACTGCTCTATGAAATAACCATCCGTACTCTTCAAAGACTTGGGAAGACAACCGAAAGCACCGCCTCTCCCATTGCTGCAGATCCTCCAGAAAAAACATAAGAAATGCGAAACACAAAAGTAGCAGATGATCAGTATATGGTAAAGATCCAAGGAAAAGCTGTTCAAAGGTTTTTCTGGTCGTCGTAGCGTCAACTGCCAACCATATCACTAACTGTTCTCTTAAACTTCTTATCCTAATTGGTTATGGCAGTGTAGATTGTCAACCATATTGATAAGAATTTCCTAAAATAGAGCGATCACAACCACATATTCTAAAGTGATCCTTTCTCAGATTAAACAGAAAAGAAAATGTCAAACGTATGGGATCATCCTAGAAGTTTCCCAGAATATCTATGAGCCTTTTCATAAACAAAGTCATGGAATACATTATAATGTTCTATACTTTTGATTCTGAATAAATTATGTTTTCTTGCTTCTTAATTTTATTGAAATGCTCTCATCCTCATCCGACTTATTGATCCCCTACTAGCAAAATAGTTTCACCATGAATTTAAACAGTTGGATTAGATAGTGGTGGCCCTGCCAACATGCTTTCTTAAAGAAAAATTTCTTCCAAAGTGCTTCCAAGACAAATGATGACAATGTGAGCTATCATGAATTTATTGTTAGTCAATATAAGTTACAAACGCACTAAATACAAGACATTCAGGCTGTTCTATTAGACTCATTGTAGAAGAAGATTTCATTATAGATGAGACTGCAGATTTGTCTGATACTATTTCTTAGCACGGATCTTACTATCCCTTTTTTCTTTCTTTCTTTTTTTTTTTTTTTTTTTTTGGCTCCATCTGGATGCAATATGTCAATTTTTCCTATTAGCTCTCTCTTGGAACAATTTCTAGTTGATCAAGACAACAGCTAGCAGCCACAAGTTGTCCAGAAAGGGCTTTAAAAAGTAGCTTAAAGGAAATATATGGAAATAACCATTAAAATTGTGGATTTGTATGTGAAAAAAATGGTATAAATTACAATTGAATAGCTTGTCCTGTCCATCTGGTGTGCTCCTGAACCAATACTGTAGTTTATTACAACAAGCATCAAATGAATATACAACAATTATGAGATACTGTCATGTTGGTACTACAAGATTTGACCTTCCTGGTCTAATGGAAATTCTAATCTACTATTAAGCAAGAGATTATACCAGTCACCTTGGGATCTCTAAATCAGAAAGGACTGAGATGCCAGTCAACTTCTAAATGACTGCAATCAAATGAATCTTCAACTCTCCTTAAAGCTGATTGTCTGTGTTGTAACAATAGAAGTGAGCAGTCTCTTACCTGATTTTCTGTGCTTTCATTCTTCTTCTTGCGAGGTGACTTTCTAGAAAAGATTTTCCATTTTGCTTCAAACTCTGAAGCTGCAATACACGAGAGATACCGTGTAAAGAAGTAAGAACAAATGAAAGAATGATATCAACACGGAAACTAAAATGTATAGCATGAGTGGCAGTTTTGCCACTATTATTACTTGCCCAAGACAGTGACTACTGGCTCCTAGAATGAGCATCCTCAAAGCAATTCGAAAGGAAGATGAAAATGACTGATCAATGAAATTAGTAATTTCCTCAGAATTTGAATTCATGAATCCAAGGTTAAGCGAAACAAAAGTATAGTGTCTAATTAATCTAGTTTTGTTATTTGACACTGTTTTCACAGCAATACATGTGCAGAAGAAAACGTGTACTTCAAATTTACTCCGACAATTTTGTCGACACTGGCGTCCCACTATAATTATCCCAGATCAAAAATTACAGAAAGAAAGGATATAGTAGTCTTTCTTGGCTATATCAGAATCAATTACCTTCACTTTGGTCCTTGAAACCTTCAATCAGGCACGCACAAATCCACGGCCTTCCAGAGCGGGTTGCTTTTGCTCCGCCTTTAAGTTCACCATTATGTTGTTTTAAACTGTATAAAATACCAACATCTTTTATCCACAAACTAATCTTCTAGAAAAATAACCAAGAGCTACCATTGTTTACCCCAACAAGTAATTCCTCCTTGTGAATACCAGACTTGTTTTCATCTATAACTGAGAAAATTTAAAGCTCAAAACAGGACTAATTTATACATTTGAAAACAATCGGTTAGTCCAATACTGAGGTCTAAGGTTCAAATCTCAAATCCTTAAGTTTATATGTACCAAAAAGAAAAATGAGAAAGGCGGAGAAATAGGAAGTCCATTGTGGTGCCAATATTTTTGGAAACAAAAGAGCAATGTTGATCAAAGTTCATAAGCCCTAAAAGAGAATGAAGTTAAAATACACCTAACTAAGGGCAATTATCCTCTGGTGTGTCCAATTAATTTCTGAGGAAAAGCTAACTTCTAATTACTCATCCAAAAATGAACCCCTTTTGAATAGAAGATTTAAAAAATCAAATTTTATAGTCTATGGTTAAAATTCCTGAGAAATTGGCTAAAATAACCAAATAAAAAAGTGAAATGACTTTCCAATTTCATTTTTATTTATTTTATTTCAGCAAATTCTTAATAATATAATTAATGTGTATTTATTTATTAATCGAGTATTATTAACAAAAATCAAGATTAGAATTTAATTGAAAAAAGGAAAACAGAGGAGGCCTTCTTCCAATTTCCCCTCACGACTTCTTCCAATTTCCCCTCACGAACTCGCTCAAACAAAAAAAGAAAACCTAAGAGGAACGAACAACCAAGAAGGCAAGAAAACGACCCACAATCCTCATCCCCCTCTCTCCCCCCCTTCGGAACCTCTGAGATCCCTCTTCCCCTACGACACCAGTGTCGGAGTTCAGGCTGCACGGCAACCCCCACTTTTCCTTCATGGCCGCCGAAGAAGAGAACACGACCATGCCGGAGGAAGGAGCTTTTCACACATACTCACCCTCGCATTTGTCGTCGCCTTCGTCGGCCCCTTCGTTGCAGCCATCGCCGACTTCCCCACAACCGCACAGCCGCCTCCACCTTTGACTTCGCCGCCATCACCTCAACCCCAAGAACAAGGCTTTTTTTTTTTTAAGTGAACCCTTATATTTTGTGGTGCAATATGCAAGACATTATAAATTTTGTTGCTACAATCTACAAAACATTTGCGAATATGCCAACATTCTTGTTTTGCATTTAGATGAAAGCTGTTAATATCTCAGTGACGAATGTACTACTATATAATAGATGAAAGATGCAGAAGATTAATACTGCATAGTTACAGTGTCAGTATATAATTGAGCCATATGCTAATTAGATCCGTAATTATCCAAGTCACCAGTAGAAAAATTTGGCATAGACTTGTTTCTTATTGATACATGTTGTAACACTTGATCTTATCCAGTCAGAAGTTCTTAGTCTATGCGTACAAGAATTATCCACATAGTGAACGGAAATCCATTCATGTCGTATTTCTTTGCTTTCTTTTTCTTCTTTTGGTTGGTAACACAGTAAATATCATAATTTATACTGGAAAACTTGAGAAATAATTTAATAAACAGGTGAATAATACAAAATCACGAACAGATGACACTCATGTCATCTTGTATTCTCTTATGTCAAGTTGAACGAAATCTTTGTTTTCTCTTCCTTAGCCAGCTTTCAGAAAATCTGCCACGTGCTTTGTGAGAGAAAATTCAAGTAGAGCAATAAAAGGTGATAACAATAAGCTAGACAAATGAGAGAGACAGTATATCTATGATTAGATAAATCTGACTAAAAGTGCCCTCTAAGAAATTCAGTCTTTTGAGACTTGAACAACTAAACCAGTTAGTGTCTGAACAGTTTTCAGGTGACCTGTACCAATCAGATCACGAAGATGAAAACTCATATCAAGTGTAGATAATCGAAGACGCTTCTTCTCCAACGATGTTGTTTGAGCGACCCCGAACGACAAATCAAATATCAGATGGCCGTTCAAGGTTGTTCCTTTCCCACTAGGCGCGCGACCCACATTAAGCTCTGATCGCGCGCTAAACACAATGGTCATTCTATCTGAATGACGGTCCCGCGACATTAAACAACGGAGTAACTAAAATTCATTGATTTGATTGATATGTATAATCTCCCACCAATTATTTGTTTCTATTAATACAGATACCGAGAACAATTCACACGTTAGAGCTGCCTGAACTACCTCCACGTATAGTGACCATGGAAGACTTTTCAGGTAAAATCACGATTCGGTCACAATTAAATGTCATAAACAATATTCGGAATTGACTAACAAACAAAAAACAAACTAAGTTTCGGAGGTTCCCTCAACTTGACCGCTTATTAGACTTGCCTACTGATAGACAATTTTCAGGAGCACTAATGCATCATTTACTGTTGAGGCGAGTCGAATGCCAGAAGGACCATGAGGTTTGGTTTTCAGCATAGGGCAAACAATTAAGGTTCTCTCTCAATGAGTTTGTCTTAATATCCAACTTGTACACAAGTGGTGGTCCATCTAGAGAAAAAATTGAATCTCATAAGAACAAAACAACACTAATGAATAAATATTGACATGGTGCAAAAGGTGTTACCTTAGATGATGTTTCTAAGAAACGTGAAGAGTTGAGCAAAAGAAAGGACAAAAATAAGGATAGAGTGCCATTGGCATTTATCTACATGTTAGTTGGCTTCTTGATGCCTGTAGACCTGAAGAAGTAGATTAATTCATCTTGATTTAAATATGTCACTGACCTTAAATTCTTCGATCAAATATCCTTGAGAAATCGAATGTTATAATTTGACACTCACAAGTCTGAAGCGGATAAACTTCGCAGAAAGGTGGGAGCATAGGTGTCAAGGGAAGGAGGCTAAACAATATAACCTTCTTGGATGCCCATGGATATTTCAAGTAAGGTTTTCACTCTAGGCTTATCTTTTTTTTTAGTTAAATATAATTTACTATTTTGTTGTTTTAGATATTTCGTTATATTTTTCATTCTAGGCATGGGCTTTCGAGGCTATGCCTGAGTTGGGAAAAAGCCGGGCCAAATTTGAAGATCAAGGTAAGCATATTCCACTATAATTATGTTGGCAGCCGAAGGAAATCGCTAAGGGATCCTCGTGGCGTTCATGTTTGCAGTTGATGAGGTCGACCGAGGTAATTGTAACTGACATCATTTTTTGTTTGATAGCTTTTACTCATTCTAATTTTTTTTCAGTTTACTGTACGACCTACTCTGGCTCCTTCGACGGAGGAAAGAGAACAAGACTACTATCAACGTCTCAGTACGCATGAGGATCTTGTGGATGGAGTCATTGATCGCCTCACTGAGTTTTTAGTAGTAGATGTCATCCTACATAGTGCCGTAGTTGAGGAAGAGAAGCGTTGACCAAGTCACATTGATTTCTCTCATTTTCTCCTTACAGCCTCGATATCACCTCTGTCAACCCGATCCATGGCACAACTTCTGCAGCCTTTACGTCCCATGTTGCCCCTCAGATGCATGGCCCAACCTTTGCAACATCAACCCTTATAGGCTCTCAGGACCCCTTACACCCTCCAGATCACCCTCAGCCTTTCCTTTTGGCTTGCATGCAATGATCGTATCCTCTCCTCATGGTTTGCATGTAATGATTTGATCATGTCCTCATGTTCACTCAAACGATGATCAAGAAGATGAAACATCTCTAAGGTCGGGTCATGCGTCTGGGTGGTGACATGGGATGGCTAGGGGTGATCTGGAGGGTGTACGGGGTCCTGAGAGCCTATAGGAGTTGATGTTGCAAAGGTTGGGCCATGCGTCTAGGGGGCAACATGGGACGTAAAGGCTGCAGAAGTTGTGCCATGGATCGGGTTGGCAGGGGTGATCTCAAGGGTGTAAGGGGAAAAGGAGAGGAATCAATGGGACTTGGTCTACGCTTCTCTTCCTCAACTACGGCACTATGTAAGATGACATCTCCTGCTAAAAACTCAATGAGGCAATCAATGACTCCATCCACAAGATCATCATGCGTACTGAGACGTTAATAGTAGTCTTGTTCTCTTTCCTCCGTTGAAGGAGCCAGAGTAGGTAGTACAGTAAACTAAAAAAAATGAAATGAGTAAAAGCTATTAGACCAAAAAGGATCAAACTAAATATAAAACTGTAAAATGTCAGTTATAATTACATCGGTCGACTTCATTAACTACAAATATGAACGCCACGAGGACTCCTTACTGGTTTCCTTTAGCTGCCAACGGAACCACCATGGAATATGCTTACCTTGATCTTCAAATTTGGCCAGACTTTTTCCCAACTCGGGCATAGCCTCGAAAGCCCATGCTTAAAATGAAAAATATAACGAAATATCTAAAACAACCAAATAGTAAATTATATTTAACTGAAAAAAAAAAAAAAAAAAAGATAAGCCTAGAGTAAAACCCTTACATGAAATATCCATGGGCATCTAAAAATGTTATATTGTTCAGCCTCCTCCTTCTTTTCTTGACACCATGCTCCCACCTTTTTACAAAGTTTATCCGCTTCAGGCTTGTGAGTGTCAAATTATAACATTCGATTCCCCAGGGATATTGATTGAAGAATTTGAGGTCAGTGACATATTAAAACCAAGATGAATTAATCTGCTTCTTCAGGTCTCGTGGCATCAAGAAGCCAGCTAACGTGTAGACAAATGCCAATGGCACTCTATTCTTATTTTTTTTCTTTCCTTTGCTCAACTCTTCATGTTTTTTAGAAACACCATCTAAGATAACACTTTTTACACCAGGCCAATACTTATTCATTAGTGTCACTTTGTTCTTATGAGATTCAATTTCTTCTCTAGATGTACCACCGCTTGTGTACAAGACAAATATTAAGACAAACTCATTGAGAGAGAACCTTAAAGGTTTGCCCTCTGCTGAAAACCAAACCTCATGGTCCTTCTGGCATTCCAGTCGCCTCAACAGTAAATGATGCATTAGTGCTCCTGAAAATTGCGCATCAGTAGGCAAGTCTAATAAGCAGCCAAATTGAGGGAGTCTCTGAAACTTAGCTTGTTCTTTCTTTGTTAGCCAATTCCGAATATTGTTTAGGACATTCAGTTGTGACCGAATCGTGATTTTACCCGAAAAGTCTTCAATGGTCACTATACGTGGAGGTAGTTTAGGCAGCTCTAACGTGTGAATTGTTCTCAGTATCTGTATTAATAAAAACAAACAATTGGTGGGAGATTATAAATATCAATCAAATCAATGAATTTTAGTTACCCCGTTATTTAATTCGCGCGACCGTCATTCAGATAGAACGACCATTGTGTTTAGCTTGCGATCAAAGCTTAATGTGGGTCGCGCGCCTAGTGGGAAAGGAACAACCTTGAACGACCATCTGGTATTAATTGGTCATTCAGGGTCGCTCAGACAGCATCGTTGGAGAATAAACGTCTTCGATTATCTTCACTTGATATAAGACTTGATCTTCGTGATCTGATTGGTACAGGTCACCTGAAAACTGTTTAGACACTAACTGGTTTAGTTGTTCAAATCTCAAAATACTGAATTTCTTGGAAGGCACTTCTAGTTAAATTTATCTAATCATAGATGTACTCTCTCTTATTTGTCTAGCTTATTGTTATCACCCTTTAATACTCTACTTGAATTTTCTCTCACAAATTCAGTGGCAGATTTTCTAAAAGCTAGTTAAGGAAGAGAAAACAGAGATTTCGTTCAACTTGACATAAGAGAATACAAGATGACGTGAGTGTCATTTGTTTATTATATTATTTCTCAAGTTTATCAATATAAATTATTATATTTATTGTGTTGTCAACCAAAATAAGAAAAAGAAAGCAAAGAAATAAGACATGAAAGAATTTACATTCACTATGTGGATAATTCTTGTACGCATAGACTAAGAACTTCTGACTGGATAAAATCAAGTGTTACAACATGTATCAATAAGAAACAAGTCCATGCCAAATTTTTCTACTGGTGACTTGGATAATTGGGGATCTAATTAGTATATGGCTCAATTATATACCGACACTGTAAATATGTAGTACTAATTTTCTGTAACTTTTATCTATAATATAGTAGTACATTTTTTACTGAAATATTAACAACTTTCATCTAAATCCAAAACAAGAATGCTGACATATTCTCAAATGCTTTGTAGATTGCAACAACAAAATTTCTAACATCTTGCATATTGCATAATAAAAATATAAGGGTTCACTTTAAAAAAAATAAAAAAAAAACCTTACTTGTTCTTGGGCTTGAAGTGATGGCGACGGTGGCGACGGCGAAGTCGAAGGTGGAGGTGGAGCCTGTGGGGAAGACGGCGATGGCTGCAACGAAGGGACCGACGAAGGCGACGACAGATGCAGGGTGAGTATGTGCGAAAAGCTCATTCCTTCTGCATGGTTGTGTTCTCTTCTTCGACGGCTATGAAGGAAAAGAGGGGTCGCCGCGCAACTTGAACTCCGGCACTGGCATCGTAGG